ATTTTTTTTTTATTTTTTCAAAATCAACCTATAAAGACAATTAACCAAATGATATCTCAATTTTATGCATAGGATTAGCAATCCTTCCTTTTTAACTTACTTACTGGGATCCTTGGGGGTCCATAGGGATATCCCTCTACTCGTAGACCCAGTATCAAGATTTGATAATTAATCCAGCCGTTACATACTCCGTCCGGTAATGGACACCATTGTTTCGATACCCTGTCCAGTATGATGATAAACTATATCTCTCCAAATCCTCTCGGTATAGGACTTCTCAGCCCTGTTCGATTGAAATAATATCTATGGTAGGGTTCCTTATATATTAGGTTCATCTGCCCTTTCTCAGGATGATCAGTAAGCTTTCATTTATTTAGATTCTCATCATTCAAACAACCACTAAAGCGTACCAACATCTCATTTCATATTTACATATTAATTCAAATGGCACTTAAACAAGTTATATAGTTTAATATAACCAAATAACCATATAACCGGAATACTGGATAAACAATACAAGAGGAACCAAGTAACCAAATAATTGAGAAGACGATAAAAACTATCAATTCAATTACGCACAGTATAATAGGAAGTAAATATAGGCATCACGGAAAAATAAACAGTGAATCATGATAAATGTGAACTAACTGATTCTGACTCTACTAGTGATCTGTAATATTTTTAGAGTTTTTAATTTTTTTATGAACATACAATTATCGATTATGAATCCTTAATTTACTATAACCGAGAATAGAGTGAGGGATTCTTATCTGAATCAGTATTTCAAAATATCGTGTTATCTACTACACCTCCTAATGGGATCCAAATATCCTGAATTTTTCTTGCGGGAATCCAAAATACTCATCACGTTTCTAAAGATACCCTAAAAATCCAAAATCACTGTTGAAAACCCTTTCTAACTAATTTAGGGTTTTGACACGGCCTCGTCATCGTGCTCCGGTGTCGGCTCCATCGCACATGGCTGTGGTTCACATCGGACTGGCCGGTTTTAGTCGATTTTACATGTATCCCTGCAGAAAAATATGTTTAAGAGCTTCAGTTGGCTAGAAAATCACAAAATATCGTACCTACTGGCGAGGAGGTCTTCAGATACGGTGGCTCCGCAGTTCTCTTTCGCGGTTGGGGTTTCTTCTTCGACTAGCCTGCACAGAAAAGGACAGTGAACACAATGTTCAAAAAATTGTGTGAAACGAGAAATGAAAAGGGGCTCATCAGAGGGATTTTAGGATTTCAACCGCGACGACTCCGCCGTTCTTTGCCCATGATTTTCGGCTCACCTTTCGTTCCTTTTGCTCTAATATGGCCACAGAGAGATTCAAAATTGAATTCTAAGCAGGTATGAGAGAATTTTACTTTTTTTGCTCTCAGCAATGGCTCCGTTGCGGCAGCAGTCGGGGGTCGGTCTCCTTCTACAACGACTGATCCTTCTTCTCCGGCGAGGGTAGGTGCGGCTAGGGTTAGGATTCCCCTACGACATGATGCTTATATACTTATCTCGTATTGATCTAGACCGTCCATTCATGTCGATGTGGAGAGAGTTGAGTAATCTGATTGTTATCTATTTAGCCAATTACGTAGGGAAATCTAGGCCGTTTTTCGCGATTGATCTCATCCGTCTGATCGCACCTAAAGAAAAAATACATCTGAGCCGTTTACATGCGCGAGATTGAATTTGGGCCTTCAGATCACTGGGTACGCGAAATGCTCATATGGTGCCGATGTCAACATGTTTTGCCACTCGACGTACGCTGATTTCCTGTGGCTGCTGACTGGGCCGTCACACATGGCCAAATTTCTCTTTTTTGCCTTTTGACCCCTTATTTCTAATTTTTTTTTAAAAAAATATCATCCGAACTCAAAATCTCACTCCTCTTCCCCAACATTGCTTTCAATTTCGCCCCTAACCTATTTTTCTCAAATAATTTAATAAAATAAAATAAAATTAATATTTTTAATTATTTTTATACATACGAAAATTGATCACGGGCCAAATTTTAGGGCTAGGTATTACACTTTCATTCAACACTATTAATTCACACATATCTTTTATTTTATTAACTATTTAGCCTTAAAAAAATATGTATATCTGTATTCCAAATAACACATGAGTATGAAATTTATATTTTAGAGTACGTACATGAAATAAACATGTATTATACTGACAGAAATGTATACACATAATAGAATGACCAGATAATATAGATTAAAAAACCTTATCATGTTAGCCATAGATTTAAAGCGAGTAAACTAAAGTAAACATAACAAGGAATAGATAAGAATAATCAACGACTGAAGAAATAACTATTATAATTAAAATTCAAAACAGACAAAGACTGACCAGTTACTCGCTTTATTAGTAACCTATATTTAATTAATCAAAAGGTCGTTAATTATCTAAAATTTTCATTTATTATTAGTTTGACTTTAATTTAATCGTAACATGAAAAAGAGGTGAAGGATTCTTACCTTAGGTCAGTGTCCAAAATACTGCCTTTTTCACTACGATTTTTAACAGTTTTCGGTTCTTGAATTTCTTGAGTTTTCCTGCTAAGATTGAAACGTATGTTAAAATAGTGAAAAAATACGCAAGAAATAGCTAAAAAAGGATAAAAATCTCATCGGAGGGTCGGGTTAGGATTCCAACAAGCGGCGCCGTTGTGCTCCGCCACCTGGTCCTCCTTCTCCGGTTGCTCCTCCTCTCATTTAGCCCGTTTCGATCAGTTCTCGGTGAAAATCTGATTAAATCATGGTGAGGAGTGTTTATTGGTGAAAAGAGGAAAATTTACCGATGATTTTAGTCCTCTGGTGCGGTGGCTCAACCGAGCTCCGCCGTTCTTTCCTCGCAGTTTATGGTTGTTCTCAGTTTCCCTGCAACAAAAACGAGTTATACG